CTGGGGGGGTCAGCCCCCCCCCCCCCTAGCAGCAGGGATGAGCTTAGTTGTGCAGGGGGGCTACCGAGCAGCGTGCGGCCGCTCAGGGAGATAGAAAGAGGGCAGCCGCCCAAGGGTTAGGGTGGGCGACGGCTAGCACCACCCTCCTCTCCTTAAAATCCCTGTGTGGCGGCGGCGTGCCGTCCTCCCATCCCTCCCTTGGGGGGGGGGGGGGGTGCACTTGGAGCACTTCGAGTGCAGCTGTCTGTTCCCTTTCTTTCTTTTTAGAAGATCGTTTGGTCTTCACGTTGTGACCCCCGACGTCGTCAAATGTCGCTCGCCTGTCCTTCCAGAGGAGTCGAGTGAGTGTGAGAAAAAGAAAGAAACAAAGAAAACAGACAACCCAAGGGAGGGATGGGAGGAGGGGCCGCGCGAGGATTCTTTTTCTCGCTTGACTATTCCGAGATAGTTCATCTCCAAATATAATGGTTTCGGTTCTCTTCGCCGCCGCTTCACTCGGCCTGCTCCTGCCCGAGCGACCGGCGGCGCCGAGCCTCGCCGTGCGGCCCTCCGCGCCGGCGCGCGCAGCACTGTGCATGGTTGACCCGTGGGCGGAGCAGAGCGGCATCGACGTCAACTCGATCATCGGTGCGGCGGTCGGGCTGCTCGGCGTTGGTGGCGGCGTAGGGCTCATCGCGTTCACCGAGAACGCGGGCAAAAGGAACGAGGAGGCGGACAACTCGCAGCCCTGCGTCACGCCCGGCTGTGTCGCGAACGGTGGCGTGGTCACGTGCAATGTCTGCAAAGGCACCGGCGTGGACCCCCTCTCGGAGCTGGTTGCCGGCGTGCGCCAGGCGACCGGAGATACCGCATCGGCGAACGTGGTCAAGGTGGAGGACTGGGGCGGCGACAGCGCCCGCGAGGTGGTCATGTACGAGAAGCTGCTCTCCAACTTCCCGCCAAAGGTGACGGAGGAGGTTTGCCTCGTATGCGACGGCCGGGGCGTCGTCGTCTGCGACAACTGCCAGGGGACGACCGTCCAGCCCCGCTTCCTGGAGCGATATTCGCCGGACGACTTTATGGACTGATGCGCGTGCGCTCTCTTGCGCCTGCGCTCTCTGGCTTTACTTGCCCCAGTACCATGGATCTGTCTCACACATGGACAGCTCCGTCGGCGCTCGCAGGATGTTGCTGCGCGTGGCGTTGCTGTGAGAGTCGTCAGCCCGGAGCGCCCCCGAGGGTCTCGAGAGGTAGAATATGTAATAAACTCCGCACACAAATCCAGAAATCTGACACCCGTACCTCGCTCCAAACCACGCCGGGCAGCTCTGGTCGTGCTCGGGACGGGGAGGGTTACTTCCCCCAGGATTGGTCTTCTCTGCATGCGGGAACACCCTCGGGCGGCCGGGTGGGGCTGCGGCTGGAGCTAGCATGGCTCGGTAGAGCCGAGACCCCGTGTTGAGGCGGCGCTCCTGTGGGCGGCTGTGGAATCGGCAGATCGTCGACCTCAGATCTCCAGTTATTCTCATCCCAGTGGATGGACGTCCGGACGAGCGGACGTCCCTTTGTGTTCCTCTCGCCGTCCGCCAGCGGGACGCTCTGTCGCTGGCGGCGCAGTTTTCTGTGAGGTGGGAGGAGAGGAGAGGACGCAGTGAAGATGGCGCAACAGCAGGCCCCGCCAGCTGCGCAAGCGCCCATCGTCGTCGTCGTTGACGAGGTTCAGATCACCAGTGATGCAATGCTCGTTCTCGTTCCAGGGGCTCAGGCTCCAGCTCAGGTCAGAGGGCCCAGCGATCGTCGATTGGGTGTAAACAAGCATCCCCGAGTGTCTTCAAACCAAATAGGGTGTGAATAGAGCTGTCTTGATGGTCCTGAGGACGAAGACACCTCAAACTTTGATGAAGCCGCGAGTTTAAATAGTTTTCATTAGCTGTGAATAGTTTATGCGCCCGCCGCAGCCCGCCTGTTCACCTGGGTTTCGCGCCACGGGCCACGAGAGCCCTGGTAGAGCCCAGCTGGCATGTTCAATCGTCCGGGTGGTGGGCTGTTTGCACGCATACGTCTCGTCGCCGTGGCCGACGCATGGCTGGTCCGACGTGTGGAGGAGTTTGACCTCAGCCAGGCCGTCGGTGTCGGCGGGCTGACGGCAGCCGCCGGAATCGCGATTCGCTCTGCCAGCTGCCAGCAGCCTCGTGTCGCCGCTCGTTGGCGCAGCAGCAGCGACTGGCCTTTGCGCCGTCGCTCGACGGCGTCACCGCCCATCCGACCTGCGCAGCTCCTGCAGCTCCTGCTGTGAGTCTTCTGCTCTCACGCACCTCACTCGCCGCGCGCGGATTGTGCGCCGCGCCAAGCAGGACACGTGCTCATGCAAACAATGTGAGAACTTGGTTGCGCCGCTTAGTGGCGGCGCTGCTTTAGAGGAAGCGGCAGCGTGGGAGGCAAAGCAGATGGAGGCGGCGCGGCATGCCAAGGAGCTGCTGCTGGCGGAGGTTGAGCGGCTAAGTGCAGCAAGGGCCAAGGGCAAGAAGGGCAAGAAGAAGAAGAAGAATGTGGACGTGGGCGATACGGGCGCCGCTAGGCTCAACGAGGAGATGCTGTGCAGTTAGAGAGCTCGTAGCGAGCTCGATTTTGATGAGAATTTGATGAGAAATATCTCAATTTTGAGCAAAAAACGCCCAAAAAATCGGCGCCTGCGGCGGGCCAGCCTGCGGCGGGCCGCTGGGGCCTCCGCCCCAGACCCCGTTTACACCCGAGCTATGCCCCACGACCTGAGCCGGAGCCAGTTACTCGTGGCGAGCGCGGCGCGCGCGTGCGCGCGCGTGGTAAAGTCGGTTTATATTTCATCACTGGTATAAAAGAGACCCCAAACGGCACTCGCGCCGCGCCCACGCGCGCTCGTATCACCTCAACACTCACACAGCACGCTTGAACGAGGCCCCCGAGGGGCGAGCCGGACCGGCTGAGGGGTTGATGGGGGGAGACGGTTCTCTTCGCAGATCCATGAGGAGCTGTGAGGAGGCACATTTCCGGCTGGTTTCGGCTCCAGCAACTGCTAGCATCACGTGGAACCGCCGGCGGGGCGAGAGCCAGCAGCGGGCAAACCGCGCCTCCGGTGCTCCGCTGCGATGACGAGCTGGCGCCAGCCACGCGCGGCCTGGCCAGGTCGGCAGGCGAGCAGCAGGCATGCCGAGCGCGCGCGCGCGCGGCGGTCTCGTTGAGGCGGCAGAGCAGGCCGCATGTTGAGCAAAGAGGGCTCCAACACCCATCCTCGCCGAAAGACGGCGATCCAACCCTCCACTTGTCACACGCCTCCTTTTTCCAGACGGATCCCCCCCTGTGAAAAAGTGAGGCGTGGTCTACTCGCCAGGGTCAGAGAGAGAGAGAGAGAGAGAAACCGCCAATGGCCGTTATCCGTTAGTGCGGACGTCGCCGCGGCTCGCCTCTGCCGCGGCGGCTGCTGCGCGCACGCGGCGGCGCCGCTCTCTCGCGAGGCGGCTGGCGACGCGGCTCGCCGCCGACGTACGGTGCGCTCGTCCGACGGTCCGCGGCGTGGCGTGCGCGGCGCTGAGCGCCGCTCTGCGAGCGCCTCTGCGCCTGCACTGCCTGTCTCTGTTGCTGGTGGTGGTGATGGTGCTGCTGCTGCTGGTGCCGATGCTGCTGCTGGCGCGGCGCGGCTGTGCGACTGGGCTCGACGCGCGCGTCGCGAGCGTCTGACGCGGCGGGCGGCGTCGGGCAGGTGCGCTTCTCTCTCGGGTGGTGGTGGTGGTGCTGCTGCTGCTGCTGGTGGTGCAGGTGCTGCTGCTGGTGCGGCGCGGCTCTCCGACGCGACTCGATGCGCGTGTCGCGGCTATCTGACGCGGCGGGCGGCGTCGCGGGCGGCAGCGGTGGCGGCTCGCGGGTGGAGGTGGAGGCTGGAGGCTGTGGTGGACTTTGAGTTTCTTTCATGGTCGAGTACGGGGACCGGGGGGTCAACCGGGAGGCAGGGGGTTCAACCAGGCGACGGAGGACCGTGGGCCATCGCGGGGACGGACCCGCCCGGAGGGCGCGTCCGGTAGATCCGGATGGTCTTCACGCCGGTGGGAGGCACCGAGGCGTCTTGGACGCTCAGCTCTACCTTAAGCTCCTGAGGGGCGCGTGGTTGTAACCACGTAGTAGGACTACAGCCCACCACAGACACCCTCCCCCACTCCTCACGTGTGTTCACACCCTCACCCTCTCCTCTCTCCTCTCTCTCTCTCTCTCTCTCCTCTCTCTCCTCTTGTCTGTGCTGTCTGCCTGACTCAGGCACTCAATCTGCCGATGCGTGATTGTGTGTGGGCTGCTCCGAGGGGGCCCTCTGTGCGATCCGACGGGTAGGGGGGCTGTGCCCGGGCGGTGTCCGGTGTGGAGTCCCCTTCTGATCCCGCCTGGGATGTTGGGTGTGAGGTTGTGGCGGCTTCGATCCCAAGGGGGGGAGCTGATCCCACTCAATAACCAACTCTCAGGGGCAGTAGGTGGGCGAGCTTCAGGCACGCTCATCTCGATCGTCAAGACGTTGCTACGCGCGGTCTTCCGCGGGGGGAGCTGCGTCGACGGGTGCGGGACCGCGGCGCAGCCAGTGCCGCGGCGATGCCTCCGGCTGTTTGCGGCGGGCGGCTTGCTGCTCGCTGCATGGCGAAAAACTCGTCTCGCCACACGCCAAGGGCTTATGCTCTGGCGAGACGTGAGGCGCATGCGCCCAGGAGGGGAGGGGGCATGTGTAACGACACTGCTAGAGATGCCTTTCGGGGCCCAGAGATAAAACTTCTGTGATGCCATGCGTGACCTAGTAGTGTCCCCAGCTATGGGCGTGTCCACGTTGGAGCCAGGTGTGGTGTGGGCGCGAGAATAGCTCCGCCGTTCATGGAGGCAACCGATGCGAGTCGACTGGTGTGTGTCGTCGTGGTTTCGTATCAAGAATTCTCTCTCGCCAGGGTCAGCCCCCTGCTGAAAAAACGGAAAAAGAAATGAAACTCCGCGCGTCAAGCTCTTCAAGACAACCCACTCTAATCCCATGCACGCCCCCCTACACCATCTCCACTCTCAGAGCCCGCTCACATCTCGAGCTTGAACCCTTCCCGCCCGCTCACCGCATCCTGAATCGCTTTCTTCCCCTCATCGCTCAAATTGTTGCCGCGGAGGTCGATGCTCGTCAGCACCCCGTTGACCTCGAGGGCCTTGGCGATCGCGAGTACGCCCGTCTGCACTACATCGACCAGCTGCAGCTCGCCGTCGGAGTCCACCCCCACGCTCACAACCATCTCGCGCCCCTGGTAAATCACCTTAGACCCGACCTCTTTCGACTCGCCCTCGACCTCGCTCGCCTTGATCCAGCCGGTCCCGCCGCCGATGTTGTTGCCCGACAGGTTCAGGTCGGTCAGCACCCCGTTGCCGCGCAGCCCCTCGGCGATCGCGGCGGCGCCCTTGGGGCCGATCTTGTTGAAGCGTATGTCGAGGATTTTCAGCACCCCGTTGACTGCGAGAGCGCCGCCGATCGCCTTCGCGCCCTCGTCGCCGATGTTGTTCGAATGGAGGGTGAGTGTTTTCAGCACCTCGTTCGTCGCAAAACCGCATCTTCGCCCGTCTGGGACCTCTTCGTACGGCTCCAAAAACCGCTCCTTAACGACGGCTACGCGGCCCAGCGGTCGATCTGCGCCTTCTCAGCGGTGGAGGGGATGTGGGCGGTACGTGCGTACCGCGTGGTGTTGCGACGATTTGACGAGTGCGACTCCCAGCGTCGACTTTTCGACCCCACGGAGCCTCTGCTGCTCCGGGGGGGGGGGTCTGCAGACCACCCGGCCGAACTTCAGAGTCGCGGTGCTCCTCAAATACCGCTCAAACGCCCACGATGTTGTGGAGGGGACATATGCTGATGATCCTGGCCCGATTGGTTCGCTCAGAAAGCTTCTGGGCGGTCGTTGGCAGCGGAGGCCGGCGGCACACAAGAGCTGCGCGGGCGTGAGGGAGGGCGGCGGCGGCGGCCTTAAAGTCGATCGTCGTCTCTGATTCGGTTCCTCGGACACGCCGTTGGCGCTGCTTTTTTCTGTTGCCTGAGGTGTGAAGCGATGGAGGCGCTCGCCGCGTGCGGCGATTGAGCGCCTCCCTCTCTCTCCGGCTGCGCGCCTGACCGGTGCAGCCTCCGAGTCGGCGTCTAGCGCGCGCGATAAGGTTTTTGCTCGCCTTCCCTGGGACCCCGTGTTGGCTTGCGTGACTCTGTGCGATTTCGGGCCCGGGGTTGTGCGTTTACGTGAACCGCGCCATTGCTGCTGTTACTGTTACGTCTTCGGTCCCGGGAAGCCCCGCGCATAGGATAACAACGTCTGTCCCACACACGCACAGACGCGCACATACATCATGCTCGGGCACCCCCCACAGTGTAGTGGTGTGTGTGAGCACACACGCACTAGCAGAGAGAGTGCACACCTGCCTTGCCCTTGGCGGGTGAGGGTCGTAAGAATCAAAGCCTCTTGGTAAACGAAAGTAGCGCTACTACCGTCAAAATATCACCCCGAGACCGACGGCTCTCGGTCCTTCGAGCTGGCAGCTGGAGCGGCGTTCGGCACGACGCGCCTCCGCGCCGCTGCTGCCTCGTCCGCTGAGGCACGAGCCAGCTTCAAGGCGTCGTCTGGAGAGTTGCCGCCCTCGTCGACCCGCAAGCCCCCAATCGCCTCGGCTAGCGTGGCGTCGCCGTCGGCTGGCGGGGTGGCACCGCCCGTGGCGGCGCTCTGCTCCCGCCACCTGTCCAACTGCTTTACGGCCACCTTCCAGTCGAAGGAGAAGCGGCCGACGACCCCGGCGCCCGAGGGATCCTCCCGAGTGACGAAGTCGTTGACGAGCCAGTAGTTGGCGAGGTCCGAACTGTTGTACTCCCATGGCGAGCGAGTCGAGCCGTCATAGTAGCTGCACCCGCCGCGCGCGTTGCCGTCCAGGAGCTCGAAAGTACGCAGTTTCCCGCGCACGCCCAAGAGCTCGGCCACTGCGATGGGCCATCCGCCGCGGTCGGGCTCGACCGCCGACGGGTCGAAGGTGGAGGCGACCTGGACGAGGTTGCCTCTCTCCGTCGTCTTAGCCTTCGGCCCCGGAGGGCTCCAGAGGAACGAGCCGGCCATCATGACCTGTGGCCGGCCGCAAGGGAGGAGCGCCGGCGTCGCGCCTGACGCCCGGGGAAAAGATATGCACGCAGGCAGATGCATAGCGGCCTTCAATCTATTTACCATTTTATTTTACGGCGGGCGCGGTCCCTTCGACCGCTTTTTGAGGCTGAGGCGTGCTTTGGGACGTGCACAGCGGCACCTGCCTGCCTTAGGCCAGCCGTCCTCCCCCATCCCGCCACATTCACTATCGAGCACCGCCATCCGAGCCGCCGTTCACTTCTGCCCGCACAACTCGTCACTCCTCACACCTCACACCTCACCTCCGGCATGCGTTCTCGCATGTTCTCGGTGGGCGATTCCCATAGATGCTCAGAGGAGAGCGTTGACGCCTTTGCCATCCTGCCCGAGACAGGCCCCAGCGTCAACCATGGCCTGGGACCTCCTCTACGCGCTCACGGGGCAGAGCAAGAGCAAGCCCTCTCCGCCGATCGGCCGCGACTTTGCGCCGCGCCGAACGCAGCCGGCGCCGCCGCAGCACGCCGCGCCCAGCGCCGAGGGGCTTGCGGCGCTCGAGGCGGCGGCTGCCCGCAGCGGTCCTCAGGCAGCGGCGTCAAACGGGGCTGAGGGGACCTCCGCCGGAGTGGATGCGCCGATCGGGGCGCGCCACTACCGCTCGGAGGAGATCTCCGGCAGCTGGGCCCTTGCTCCTCGCGGCGTGTCGCGCTCGCTGCCCGACGCGGCGGAGACGGCGGCGATCGGCTCGATCACCTCGCACGGCTCCAAGTGGGACAGCAAGGGCAAGCACACCGAGATCAACCAGGACCGCGGCTGCGTGGTGACGCCACTTCGCCGGTGACGAGCCCGCGCTCCTCGCGTGCGTCTTCGACGGCCACGGGCATCAGGGGGACCAGGTCGAGACCCCCCCCCCCCTTTCAACCCCCACCACATAGCCACCACACATCGCACC